TCCTGGCCTTCAAGGTATGAGCCAGTTTTTATGAAGCATTTCCATGTGTTCAAAGGAGAAAATCTCAGCAAAGTCAGTCCTGATTCAGACAAAACTTAACTCTTACCTGGATCCATAATGGTCACTTTGAACGGTACACCCTATTTTTATGTTTACATTTTTACAGTTAAGGTTGATCAGCCACTGAGGAGATCTGCACTGCAGGAAGGGGAAGATGTCTTTACCCAGTCCATGGAGTAACAGTGCAGCTTCCTATTCTTACTACTGTTGCTTGCTGCCTACTGGCCATCTGTGCTTAGGGCCTCCTGCTCTGCCACACAGATAGTCCCTGCCTCAGATTGCTTACTCAAATCTGAAAAGACTGGCAAAAGGTGGAGGACACTCAGGGAGAGAAGGGTGAATTTCTTTGCCTAGAGTTATACAATATAATCCTCAATATCTTGGGCACTACACTTCATTTCTGCAGGGGAGTTTTGCTGGTTGTGGAGATGTCTCCACAGCACCACTTCCTTCCCACTTCATAGCAGATATTGCTGTTTCCTTTTATAGGTCTTCCTTTTGCCCGGCCCTAAGCAGACACACACCCCCTTCTGTGCAGGGAGCACCTATAGAACTGACCCCAGTGCTGTGTAGCTGGTGCAGGCCAGTGAGCTCCTTCCATTCTGCTCCTACACATCAGAAACTAGCTTTTTGTGCCATAAAGTAGTCTTTGCCTATAGGCGAGAGTTGAATTCGTATCTGTTCCTTAAAAAAAGAAGCTTTCCACAATGGCCAGTTCTAAATTGCAGAAAAGCATTGGTTTTCACAAGCTATGCAAAAACTAAAGGATAAGTAAGATATTACAATAACTGAACATGCAAATTTTAAAATTACACTTAGGAATTCTGAGGGATGGTGAGTAATGGAAGTAAAACATCTTACAATGGTTTTTTGTTTCCAGGACAGCCTGGTACCCCAGGACTTCCAGGTGCCAAAGGTTTTAGAGGCCCAGAAGGTGATATAGGAGCACCAGGTTGTCCAGGCTTCCCTGGTCCACCATGTGACACAGGCTTACCAGGGCCACCAGGACTCAGAGGTGTCATAGGCCTGCCAGGACCTCAAGGTACACAACATCCATCAGGTTGCCTCACAGCTCTAAGCTTTGCGCATCTTTTCTAGCAGATTTAATCACATGATTTTTGTGACTGGCATGACAAATATTTCCATGGGGGCTGCTCATTAGTGGGGGTGTACATTACGTTTTGCACATTTCCTTAAACGCAAGGAACGTACAGTGTGCATCTCGGATGTTTCCTAGCTTTCCTTCCCTTTCCATACTGTTCCTTAACTGGCCATATTAGTGTGCTCACTGTCAAGTAATAAATGGAAGAGTTATTCCTTATTCTGTTGTCCTGGGTAACTTAACTGAGCTCCTGTCATTACTGTGATACTTTTATCTTCCTTATTCTCAAATTGAAGTGGTATTTAGGGAGAACTAGGAGACATATATCTCAAAAGTATTTACAAATTAGTAGGGATTTTTCACAAGGCGCTTCTACTGATATGTCTCTCACTAAAGAAATACAAGAAAACAAACATTCCAGGTGAAAAATCTACGCAGAGCCAGGACTCCAGCATGGTAGCAAAGTTTCCAAATTATTTTGCCATGTTTGATGATACTCAAATTTATACCAAAATCTGTCACTTTCTACTTTTTAGATACAATTGCTGAACCCTTTTCCAGCATTTACATACATAGATTAAAACTCTTTTTCTCAGGCTTACCAGGCTTTAAAGGTCAGAGGGGAGACAGGGGCCTAGCTGGGCTACCTGGAATCAAAGGTCTCAAAGGTTCCCCTGGCTCACAAGGTTCCCCAGGTCCTCCAGGCTCACGAGGACTTCCAGGACTTCCAGGCAATAAAGGACCACCTGGTTTCCCAGGACAAACAGGTATGTCAAACATCCTGCAAACCACATCATAACTTCTCTTGTAGAGGGAGCTATTTCTACTGCTGTTAAAGCTAGGAAGTACCCTCCTCCCTTTCCAGCTTTGAGAATAAGACCCTGTAGCAGGGTAGAGGCAATAATAATAGCATCCTTTGTTCTTTCTCTTATAATAAAAAGAAAGGGATGGAAATAGTTTGATACATCTTGGTGCATCCTGGTGCTTTAGTAGTTCTACAACACTGACATACTTCCATGTATTATCATAGAATCATAGAATGGTTTGGATTGGGAGGGACCTTAAAGATCATCTAGTTCCAACCCCCCTGCCATGGGGAGGGACACCTCCCACTAGACCAGGTTGCTCAAAGCCCCATCCAACCTGGCCTCGACTATTATTTCCTGACTATTTGTAATAGGTTGTTGTTATAATATGCTGTAATAAGAACAATATACTTTTTATCGCATCCAGACTATCTCCTTTACTGATGCAGTCTGTGATTGTATGCTGATGAGCATTCTGTTCTTGGAGAAGTAAGGAGGGGGGTCAGCAGGACTGCTACCTGGGACTTCCAGAGGGCAGACTTTGTCCTGTTTACGGGCCTGCTTGACAGAGTCCCTTGGGAGGCAGTCCTGAAGGGCAAAGGAGTCCAGGAAGGCTGGACATTCTGCAAGAAGGAAATCTTAAAGGCGCAGGAGCAGGCCATCCCCATGTGCCGAAAGACAAGCCAGCAGGGAAGATCAGACTGGATGACCAGAGAGCTTTGGCTGGAACTCGGGGGGGAAAAAAAAGGAGAGTTTATGACCTTTGGAAGAAGGGGCAGGCAACTCAGGAGGACTACAAGGATGTCATGAAGTTATGCAGGGAGAAGATTAGAAGGGCCAAAGCCCAACTGGAACTTAATCTGGCTACTGCCGTAGAAGACAATAAAAAAATATTTCTACAAATACGTTAGCAAGAAAAGGAGAGCTAAGGAGAATCGCCATCCTTTACTGGATGTAGGGGGACACATAGTGACAAAGGGCGAGGAAAAGGCTGAGGTACTTAATGCCTTCTTTGCCTCAGTCTTTAATAGTCAGACCAGTTGTTCTCCGGGCACCCAGCCCC